TAAAAACGCACTAAGGATTAATGAGCTACTGGATTCATGAATATTAATCAGGTTGTGTGCGATTTATTAAAGGTTATGAGTGAAACATAAAGAGCATCTCTTTGGGGTGGCCACAGGCCAACATAAAACAAAAAAGAGATTAGAACAAAAAAAGAGAAATGAAATAACCTAGACAATTTGTAAAATAAAAATACAGCCAGCTTACCTAACTTCCTAACCAAAAACAAAGTCCAAACGAATTCACAAAAGAAAATGGGCAGGACCCCCCTACGCTCTGTTTCACATGATGAGAAGTTTTAGTCACAACAGCAGGTGTTAAACATTAGCTTGGCCGCCGGCCGGAGGAGGAATCCAGGAATAAAAGTATTTAAAACCGGTAAGTTCATATATTTGGAGTAAAGTTAAATTAAACCGATACATCAGTCATACAGCGCTCCGGACCGCGCACCCCATGACGAGCCCGACACACCTCCACAGAAACAAGAATAAGATGCTTTCTAACATAACTGTGGCGTTAAACTCAGTTAGTGAGGGCTCGTGGAACGAAAGGGGCATAATGAAGATTGAGTTGGTGCTGGATTCCCAACAAGTTAAAGGAATAATCACTCCGGTCGGGGACCAAACAATCACACCATTCACGGGAACCAGAAACGGTTAGATTTATTAAAGGTTATGAGTGAAACATAAAGAGCATCTCTTTGGGGTGGCCACAGGCCAACATAAAACAAAAAAGAGATTAGAACAAAAAAAGAGAAATGAAATAACCTAGACAATTTGTAAAATAAAAATACAGCCAGCTTACCTAACTTCCTAACCAAAAACAAAGTCCAAACGAATTCACAAAAGAAAATGGGCAGGACCCCCCTACGCTCTGTTTCACATGATGAGAAGTTTTAGTCACAACAGCAGGTGTTAAACATTAGCTTGGCCGCCGGCCGGAGGAGGAATCCAGGAGCTCCGAACCCGTTCGTGTTCGCACCAACAATGAGCTCCCCGACAGCTGGCAAGCGGCTTCCTTAAAAGACTCCGCCTTAATAGAATGACCAATTATGCGCTGACACCACAGCATCATGCAACCTATGAGAGAGCAGACCAAAGAGGAGAGCGAGAGAGAAAGAAAGAAACAGAGCAATACAATACAACAAAAATAATTATCAAAGAAACGGTTGTAACATGCATATTAAAGTAGTATATAAATGCCCACTTTACTTAGCGGGGACAAGCGCAACCTATATGACTTTCATGACTTTTTTGGACATCCCGAAAGGGAGGACCTTGTACTGTTATGCCCATCCCTCAAAAGGAAAAATGTGGGAATGGTCTAATTAGTTGAGAGAAGATACATTTCAGTTCGTCCTGTACCTTTCAACATACCTTCTGATGTTTATTCATGTTTGTGTTATAACTCATAGCATAGAGTAAGTGATGACTGTTTCACTTATGCTTTTGAACTGAAGGATTTACAGTGATTATTAATTTTAATAGGCCTAATAGTTTTGGTAAATGGATAATTTGATGATTTACTTTTGGACTTTTGCAGATGCATGCTATAGAAGTTTTTTTTGCATAAACTAAAAAAAGCATTGAAAACAAATGATTGAACGATCTTCAGATTGATGAGTCAGTATTGAAATTACTTTAATGAACATTGTGATGCTTTGAAAATTTTATTTTTAAATTTTTTCTGGTAATATTAATTCTACCTTAAATGTATCATGGAAATTTTATATAATTTGAATATAACTTGAATGTCAGAATTTCTTGTTTTTCCTGTTTCTTTTACATTGCATTCCTCATCATCAGTATCTTCGCTGCCATCAATGACGGATCGCCTGGAGTCCATTGAAGAAATACCTTATATCAGCAGACGATGTACGTCTGTGTTTGTGGTTGGAGACTCCTTCACCAGCTACAGGCTCTAATCCTCATTTGTGCGTGTGTGTGAAGTGTGGTGCTGAAGTGAAATAGCGGGGCAATTTGACAATAATAGCCAAATTATAATAGGCCGCCTAATAATAATAATTTAATACATTAATAAGAGAATGAGCTTAATATTGTCTTGACTATTGACAACAACATCTGCTATCGTCGATACAAAATACTATTGTCTATCGGCACAACCCTACTACAGTAGATATAGTTAATAGCTACATTCGAGTAAGAAATTGAATATGCAACACAGTTGTCACTTCATGAATAAAATATACATTGATTCTTATTAAAACGTCATGCTTCGGGTGTGTGTGCTCATAAAAGCGTATGTCTGAACAGCAATGAGTGAAATTGTTTGAAATTTTAAACTAGCAATGTCTTAAAATGCATTCAAAGAACTGCAATGTCACATGAGTGTAACCTTGTCTGCTAGTATAAACACCCACCACTACAATGTTGCTAAATGCAACATTGTAACAAATGCTCAAATGTGAGATGTGAATGTACCAGCCCTAGAACTGCAACTAATAAAATGTGCACTAATAATACTAACGATAATATTATTTTTCTAAAGGCAGGTGCTGGAGATGTTTTAATTGTTCACAATCTAATATTGTCATGATTTAGCTAGAGTGCACCAACATAAATTCAATATATCAAGTAAAAACAAATAGCCTATATACAATACAAACCTCAAAAAAGGGCTTTGTGGGAAATTGCAGTACTTGGAGCATTGGTGTTATATGTAACATAACTAGCATGTTTTTATTTCTGTTTTACTTTATCTAACTTTACTTTAAGACATCCTAATTATTTAATATCTTAAATCTAAATAGTATGTTTGGTCTTTCTCTTGTTGTGTTGCTATGTGCCTGCAGGTTGGGATCTCACCTGAGCCCATCACGTACTGAGTGCTATATCACCTCAGATATGTTCTACGTTGAGGTGCATTTGGATAAAGCAGGAAAGCTTGTGGACGTCAAAGTGGCCCACCATGGTGAAAACCCTGTGGTGAGAGGAAGACTTATGTGGTTATTGTGGATAGCATAATAAAGTGGCATGTCTTTGCCCTGTGATCTTACTTTTTTGTGATTTTTGTCTCATTGTCATATAGAGTTGTCCTGAGCTGATACAACATTTAAGGTAAGTTGAGGGAAAGTAAATCTGCAAAGTGGAATATGCTCAAGGATATTTAGTTCCCTTTCAAACGGTCTCTCCTGTTGCATATACACGCTTATGGGGTAACTTCTTTTTACTCTGATACTGAAGCCTGATTTGTTCACATTCGTGTACCTTGCACAAACAAATGGCGCTTCAACCCACCAAAACGGGAGGAGCCGACTACTATATAAGTCAGCTCAGAGACCCATTCGTCAGAATTTTTCTTCTTCAGCGACAAAGATATCTCCTCACGCCGTGAGTACAGGGACCCCCTGCACAAAGCAGACAGGCACAGTGAGTGCATTGCTTGCCTGGGCAGTGCCCACACTGAGGCTGCACTCACTGGAACTGAATGCTCTCATTGCGAGAGCATGAGTCTCACCCTGCTTCGCTCGTGGATCGCCTTCTTCCACAGAGGCGGTCCTCCCCAGCCTGCTCTCCTGTTTCCTCACTCCCAGGAGCCTCGGAGGAAGAAACAGCAGAGCAGCAGGGTTCCATCGGGCTCGAGTGATCTTACGCCGACACAAAGCCCGTGTACTTCACTCTTCCCGCAGCGCCTCGCCTTTGCCTTCCTCGACTTCCCAGTCTCTCCAAAGGGACTTTTCGCCCCAGCCATGGATGGATTAGCTGAACGGTTTATGGCAGCTCAGAAGTCTTCGCAGGCAATGCGACACTTCCTGCCGAAATGTTCCAGTTTGGTGGCTGCTTCAAGTCGCCAGAAGGCTACATCTACTCATCAGCCTGCTAAAGCCGCTCCCTCAACGACCCAGCCTCCTCCAAGATCTGAGCCTGGGCTTGTACAGACTTTTCAGGTGGCAAAACTGAACCCATTTCCCAAGCGCCAAGGACCCCGCCCACATGTGACGCTGGGTCCTGAGCCTCAGAAGGCATCTTGATCAGTATGCAGTATGCCCTTAGCTGTCACCCCCCATTTTCAGCATGGAGACACAAATTACATACCCAAAATAAAAAGGTTGCTGCTCATGAGTCTTTCTTACTAGATACATAATCAACATATGGTCACAAAGCTGACACTTCAAAGTTTACTGTTCAGGAATCAGAATTACTCTGACTGTTATGATAATAAAGATATATAATCTCAAACATGAAAACAAAAATAAAAATCTAAAAAAAAATTTTTAAATGTATAAAAAAATATGTTGCTGTAGAATATGATTTTAGAAACACAATGACGCTAAAGCCACAAGTCTACTAATGCTTCATTTTAAATTTCAGAACAATCTCTAAAACTGGGAATTTTATGAAACATTTTCTAAGACCATGTCGTGTGTTTTTAGAGAAGGCTCATTATTCTTTTGTTTTTATGCAGCCATTAGCAGCCTTTATTCTGTTTTACAAGGTTTACCAAGCCACATCGCTTCAATCCCAGTATACATTTACCGGCCTATTATCAAAAGTATTTCTATAAAAATACAAAACATTTTCATACGACCCTACGTTAATTATTATGACAAAATGCATTATGAAGAAGAGCTGCACCTGTTATGCAGCTGCATTAGAGCTAACATTAGCATCAAGCTACACAAGACAATTTATGATATTATTAGTACACTTTTACTCAACTCACTTTAAACCACCGAGTGTTTGTAATAACTTCCTTTAGCGATCTCATGTGGAATTTGGTCGTTTACTGTTGTAAAAATATGCTATTTTAATATGCCTTTTATATCGCTGCACAAATTAGCATTTCAGATGTACACATTCATTATTGTTATGAAAATACCCCAAATCTCAAGAAAATCACATACAAAC